GTCTGGATATCGTTACATAGCTTTGGCTTTAGTTCACGTAAGACTACAGAGGAAGATAAGAGACATACATGGTCCTTTCTATTATAGCTCTTTGCAAAATTTCTCAAGCCATGGCAACAACCACAGGAAGATAATATTTATAAGTCTTGATTATCATAAAAAACAAAATGAAATAAAATTAAAAACATGAAAGAAGACTGGTAACTTTGTGTTCAGCCCAAAATTTATTCTAGAAATGTTAACTTCACCACGAACTATTCACCTTCAGTCTTGAGTGTATTTCACATGGATGATTTAAATTTTTGATATTCTGGCTTCCACTGACAAACTCTGCATTTTGACAAGTTTTGATGAAGCCTATTCATTCTAGACAATTTATGCACACCTAGTTTGAATAGTTGATTTTGACTTTATCCCCTGGAGTTCCTAGACCTGCCCTGATTAAATTTTAAAACATAATTACAGGTAGCACATTGAGTCAGTCAGTTAGTCAGAGAGATCTGAGCTCTGTGAATACCTACTTCCTGCAGCACTGCATTAAGTGCTCTGGAGGAGGACGGGGGTGGATGGGAACAGTCACCCATGAAATGATTTAAGGATTATTATTAAAACAACATATCACCAGGAACAAAGTACCTGAGTAGAAGAAACTCTACATGAAAGCACAAGGAATGGAGAGTAAAGAAAGCATCAATTCTGCTTTAATTGTCAGTCCAATATATTTAGCAAATGTGTTTTGTAATTATTAATAGGTTTGCAAGCAGGCCAACAAAACAAATTAAACAACTGTTGTTCTACCTACAAATAGGCAGCCTGAGTTGATGTAAGGCAGTTCTTTAATTTCTTTTACCTGGTAATATATCAAGGGTATTGTTAAGTGAAGGATCAGGAAGAGATTTTTTTTTAACAATTTTTTAATTTTTGATTAATTTTAAATTTACAGAAAAGTTGCAAAAGTAAGACAGAGTTCCTATACATCCTCACCCAGTTTCCCCTAATGTTATTATCGTATATGGTCAAAGTGCATTTTTCAAAACTAAGAATCAATATTGGTATATTACTATTAGATGAACTTTGGACTTTGTTCCAATTTCATCCATTTTATACTACTGTTTTTGGGTTTGGTTTTGTTTTCTGTTCCAGGATTCAATCTAGGATACCACACTGCATTTAGGAGGAAAAGATTTAATGTCTTATTGCTGGATTTAAAAATCAGCTATTTCTGGGCAATGGAGCTAATCAGTGTTAGATATTAATATGAGCAGGAATGAATATGAGTAACATGTCCAAGAGTCACCTGAGCATACTATAGTGTCAGATTTTTAGCTAACTTCAGGGAAAAGCAAACATGATTTTGTAGTCAGTCATTAATGTCTACTTTATTTAGTTAAAGGTGCTGATTATATCAAGCTCTACCACCATTGCTAGAGTAGTGTGAACTAGTGTGAACACCAAGATTTCCTACATAAAGACATGAAAAGAGGCTGATTTGGTTATGAAATCTGCCCATTAGGAAAGCTTACCACAGACAACACAGAAACAAAGCCCTAAATAGTCAGCTTATTGATATCGGAAGATAATAATGTATCAAGACCAGTGGATTTACAACTTGGACATGCATCAAGATCACCTGGAGGGCTTGTTAAAATCTAGATTTGTAAGTCCTATCCCCAGAGCCTCTGATTCCATAGAGCCCACGCATCTGCACTTCCAGCAAGTTCCCAGGTGATGCGGATGCTGCTGGCCCAAGGACTATACTTTGAGAATCACTATTCTTCCCTAAGTTAATCTTCATGGGTAATTGACCGAAAGAAAAGTAAAGCCATTGGTTCTGACAAGGTATATTCATAGATCCCTGAACTGTTATGTTGCCTACCAGTTAGATAAGAGATCTGCTAAATCTCATTCCAAATCTGTACAAGGAGTAAGTGAGAAAACAAATCAAATATTTTAGTTTCTCACAATAGTTTTTACCAGTCTGTCTTCCCTTCAGGTAATGCTATCATATTTAAAATAATAAAATACTATTTTTAACAACAATAAAATAACTATAATTTAAAATCAATCACAAATGTTTGGACCAAAACAAGGCTTCTGATTGATAAACAGAAATCAGTGGGAATAAGGGATGTAACACACATCTTCTTCAACAATGCTTCCCAAACTTTAATGTGTTTATGAACCACCTGGAGATCTTTCAGTTGGTCTGGGGGTGAGCCCCAGGATTTTGCATATCTACTAGAATTCCAGATGATGCTGTTGCTGTTCCTCCACGGATCATACTCAAAACAGCTCTATAGGCCTTTGGCAAGATTTTAGCAAGTGTAAGATGTTCTAGCACCTAGTGATGTCTGGAACTTTCTACATCTCAGTTATGGGCATTATTTAATGCCCTTGACTAAGGCAGATTTTAGGATATGCTGGTCTCTATTCTGAACTCTCAGCTTTAGAATAAAAAAGCAATAATTTTAGGGAAACTAAATCAACAAAATCTCCCTGGAGTGTACTGGAATATAACAGAAACTTTTGGAACCTAATCACTTACTGAGAAGCCCTTTATATAATCCCTACTATTTCACTCTAGTATCAGTCTATAAATTAACAGCCACATAGATAAAAAATAGGAAGAGTGTCATCCAATTCTGCATTCTGATGAAATCATTACTGTTAACACTGATCCTATACACATCTTCAGTTCCTCACACTGCTCTGCCTCTCCTTATCTTTCCCTTTGCCAAGGAAGCCCTCTTGGCTCTTGTGATGGGAATTCCAAGCAACCTATTAAATTTCATTATTCCCCCTAAATGAAGATTAACTCTCTTCCGGTTTTTTGTGGAGTCAAAGATCCACATTACATAGGACCTTATCATCACTGTTAGAGTACAGAGGGATAAGGGATTAGGAGCCTTTTTCTTTATTTCATCTGTTTGCCTTACAGGAAAAAAAAAATGGAAAAGTTTATTGATTGCCTCAAGAACAAGAGGAGAGGCTGTGAGAAGACACTGTTTTCTATAGTGGGTGAGGAAAAAAGAAAAACCTTGGCCAGAAGCAACAAAGGATATATAAACTTTGACTCTCCCAAAATGCTGCCTTAGGATTCATCATACAGTGAGATGGTGGCTTCCATCCTGCACAGCTGAGTAGAGTGGAGGGACCCCCACAAAGCATTCCTCAGATTGTCTCCCTAAACAGTTTCCCAGAATATATTAAGGCTTCATGTAAGGTTGCTCTTGTTAACTAATTGGGTAGTTATGAAAAAGTAAGCCAATTTTCAGGGATCCACAGGTGAAAGAAGATAATTGAAAGATGGCCTAGCCTGAAAAACAGCCCTGGAAAGTTTATATCAACAATGGGCCCCTCCCACCCCAAACTCCTCAGTCCCTTAAATTCCTACCTCCTAACCTGCATTGCAGGGAACCACTATCAGTGACCTGGAGCCAAGAAAGCTCCTATTCAAGTGAAAATCTCTAAGCAACCTAGGGATTAAGGTAAGGAAATTTGTATCCATTGCTGTGAGCTTGACAATTTACCAGCACTTCCAGACTTCCCTGATAAAATTAGTAGTAATCTTCTTAAATGTGATTTCTTGAAATTATATAATGAATGTGTCAACTTTGGGAAGATATGCAAAACTCCACAAACCAACATTTTCCAAATGACCAATGAATGCATGTTGTTATAAAATTATGCATAGGTAAAAGGTCCATTCAAAATGCAAGATAGACCAATAGATTTTAATGTAATAGAAGAGGGAAAGCTCACTGATATTATTTCATATTCCACATTGCAACTAACATCTAAAAAACTTACTACTTCTTAAATTTTAGTGCAGTATCAAAGAGGAATATTCACAATTATCTGAAAAAGCTCTTAAATACTCCTCCCTTGTCCTATCACATACTTGTTTGAGGTTAGAGTTTCTTCATATACTTCAAACAAATGGTATATTACAACAGATTAAATGCAGAGAGGCATATATAAATCCAGCTATCGTCTATTAATTATAATACAAAAGAGACTTGAAGAGATACATTTTAAATGCTATTTTTCTCATTAATTTTTTGTTTTGGAAAATATCATTTTCTTTGTTTGCAGAGGGCAGAAAAAATTAAAAATTAAAAGAAAATATAGTAATTTTCACAAAGTATGTAAGTTATTATATAATGGTTTATTTGATTACATTTAAATAAATAAATGCATATTTAATTTTTTCTCAGTTTTAAGTTCCATATGGTGAATATTAACAAATATAACTCACATAAACAAAAGCTCTTTGGGGGTCCTCAATAATTTTTAATAATGTGCAGAGGTTATGAGACAAAAAGTTTGAGAACTGCTAGGCTAAGCTAAGGACTGTGCTTTATTATCTTGTGTTTTAAATATTTGTGTCTCTGGACTGGACATAGGTTAATTTCTATGGAAAGCAGACAGCTGAACTACCAAAAAGGAACTTACAAATATACCTACTCTGGCTCTTTGAAGAAGGCACTAGGAAGTTGTAATTCTAAATTTGGTCTTGATTATACAACAAGATGGCTGTTAAAGAACCTCTTTTTTGTACTTGCTAGTGTATTGGTTCTCTCCTCACTGGAGTTCCATGGAGCAGGGAGTGGTGCCTTTTGATTGCTATATCCAGAGGACAAGAATGACTTAAATATTTGTTGCATGAATAAATCAACAAAATAAATACTTAGACACCGAAAAGCCATTCCAGACTGATATTTAAATTATACTTATGGTTGCTCTATAGTCCTATAGTCAGAAACACCAGCCAGAGGTACTATATACATTCCAAAGATATAAATAGATGCTCCTATGATGGATTCATACAACCAGAAATCCTTTTAAGAGATGATACTTTAGTAAAACTGAATTTGATTGTGGCACTGCTCTCTGTCTCTGCTCAGGAATTTGGATCACCTAAGAAGACTCACGTAGAACTATACACTTTCTGGAAATATTAATAGGCATAAAAATTCCCATTTATCTAAATGGCTCACCTTATTGGTAGGGATCAAGCTACCTGGAAAATATTTGGAGGATTGTCCTTGCATCCATTACCATCATGGCCATGTTTAGGATCTCCTAAAAAAAGTAAAACACCTGAAGGAAATGATTGGAAATTATACCAAACACATAATTTTGGTTTCTAAAAAAGCCAGCACATGTATTATGCCTGTTTCATAGTACAGAGTATATAGAAATGACTGTATTCAGCATACAATTATTCTCCAGGTTTTCAATTTCTGAATAGCACTCCAATTCAGCTTTGGGTGGGAGGGTGTGTAGCTCTAATGCCTCCTCATAAAATTGTATTAATTCTACTCTTGTTGACTTTTTTTTTCTTTTTTTTTTGGAGACAGAATCTCACTCTATCAGCCAGGCTGGAGTGCAATGGTTCGATCTAGGCTCACTGCAACCTCTGCCTCCTGGGTTCAATTATTTTAAGTTTTTTAACAGCCATTTTAAACTTGTAGTCTAATAGCAGGTTTGGATGGGGCTTGTATTCTGGAAGACACAGTTTTGATGCTTTTAATACCCTGCTATTGTTAAATAGAACTTAAATGGGTACAAAATGAAATATGGACAAAAACATACTGGATTATCAAAATACTAAATGTAGTCATTGGTCCATAAAATTTGAAATTAAGGCAGTTTCTGGAAAACTGACTCCTAAGAGTAAATCAAAAGGGATTATTTTGTTGCAATTTGGAAAGCATTTTCATAAAATTAAAATGAAGAATATAGCAAATTTAACCACTAGGAAAGCACTGTCTTCTGTTGCCTTCCATGACATTCTACTCTCTTGATTTTCTCTTCTCCTTCTCCTTTGCTTGGTCCTCCTTTTCTCTTGATCTCTTCATGCAGGACTCTTCCAGGGTTTAGTTCTTGATCTTTTTCAGTTTTCAATCTACACTCAAACGGTTTGAAATACTATCTATGTGGCAATGACTCTCAAATTTTAATCTCTAGCCCACTCCTCTCTCTCCTGCTGCAGAATCATACATCCCAACTGACTAGTCAACAACACCAATCAGATCACTAATAAGTCTCTCAAACTTAACATTTCCAAAACTGAATTCTTGATCTTACCTCTCAAATTTGTTCCACTTGAAGAAGTTTCCCGCATTTCACCTGATGTTAACTCCATCCTTCTAATCACTCAGGTCAAAAGTCTTGGCATCCTCCATTCAGTTCCATCAGCAACTTTACCTTCCAGAAGAATCACTTCTCAACCACCTACACTAGACTTACCCTGGTTCAGGCCACTGTCATTTCTTCCCTTCTTCCACACACCCTGCCCCCACATCAGTTCTTCTCAAAAAAAAGATTCTGAGTGATGCTTTTACTTTATATTTATTTATTTTTTTTTTTTTGAGAGAGGATCTCACTCTCTCACCCAGGCTGGAGTTCAGTGGCACCAATATGGCTCATTGCAACCTAGCTTTCCAGGCTCAAGGGATCCTACCACCTCAGCCTCCTGAGTAGCTGGGACCACAGGAGTGCACCATGCCCAAAAAAAAAAAAAAAAATATATATATATATATATATACATATTTACTTTTTGTAGACATGGGTTCTTGCAGTGTTGCCCAAGCTGGTCTTGAACTCCTGGGCTCAAGTAATCTTCCTGCCTTACCTCCCCAAACTGCTAAAATTATAGGCATGATCCACTGCACCAGCCTGATGCTTTAAAGACGTTAAGATCATATCATTATTTTCCTCAAAATCCTACAAGAGATCTACATCTCATATAAAATGAAAGCCAAAATCCTTTCAAAGCTCTACAACACCTGTCCAATCTCAACCTTTCTTGCCTTTCCTTCCTCTCCTCCCTTCTCATCTGACTCCTGACCTCCATAGTGTTTCTTAAACATGGCAGGCTTGCTACTGACTAGGAGCATTGGAGCTGGCTGTTTCCTTTGCCAGGATGGCTTTTCTCCTAGATAACCAACTTTATCTCAGATTAACAGCTCTTCACTAAGATAACGATACAGTTTATCTCATTACCTCCTTCAAATCTTGGCTCAATGTAGCGTTTTTAATGACACCTACTCTGAGAATCCTACTTAAAATTGCAACATACTTTGGGAGTCCAAGGCAGGCAAATCACCTGAGATCAGGAGTAAGAGACCAGCCTGGCCAACATGGCAGGGAGATAACCTGAAATCAGGAGTATGAGACCAGCCTGGCCAACAGGGTGAAACTCCATCTCTGCAAAAATACAAAAATTAGCTTGGCATGGTGGTCCATGCCTGTAGTCCCAGCTACTCAGGAGGAGAAGTTTGCAGTGAGCAGAGATTGCACGACTGCACTCCAGCCTGGGCGATTAAGCAAGATTCCACCTCAAAAAGAAAAATTGCAACGTGCCCCTCAACCCTCTCTTTATCTTCTTTTATTCTGTTTTATTTCTTTCCATACCATGTCTTATTTTATAGCTCACCACAATTTATTTGTGTGCTCATTTCAGGTTTCCCTCAAGTAAAACGTAAACTAAATCGGGAAATATTTTTTTGTTGTTGCGCCATCATTTTGAGGGTTGGGCACATAGATGCGCAAGGAGTGCCCGAACTCATCATCTCACAATTCATACAGCTGGGTAAGCTGCCTACACTTCCCTGAAGCCTCAGTTTTACTACTTTCTTAAATGGCTAAAACTCACAAAAGCCGTCTACAGGTTTAGAAACTTTGCAACCCCGGAAGTAAAAGGTTAACAAAAGGGTCACAGACGAACGCTATTTCCGTTTCCGTACGGACGCAAACGAGCCGACACCATGGCGAAATCCGGGGATAAGAGCAGCAGCGGCGGGAAGAAAAGCCTGAAACGGAAAGCCGCTGCCGAAGAACTTCAGGAGGCTGCATTCGCTGGGGATGGGGCGACGGAAAGCGAGGGACAGCCGCCGAACGCGGCTGCCTTTCCGCCAGGCTTCAGCATTTCGGAGATTAAAAACAAACAGCGGCGACACTTAATGTTCACGCGGTGGAAACAGCAGCAGCGGAAGGTACCCGAGGGGCGGGGGCTGCCGGGCGCTTGCGCAGTGTTCCTCACGCTTAGGGCGGTCCGGGGCGCACGTGGTTGTCTGCTGATCTCAAAGTGTTTGCTGTGGTTCCGTGGGAAGGGTGTTGTCGCGGCCCGCGTGTTCTGGTACCCTTCCCCCTGGTTTAGAGACTCTAGGTTCAGCCTTTTGCCTGAGTGTCAAGGCCGAAGATTTTCTTGATAGGCCCTTTCCTAGGGTGCTGGATTCAGAAGGAAAGCTGGAAGCCCAGCTGGCTCAGTAGTGAAAACTACGCCCTCCTGGCCCAGAAGGCAAAAGTCTTAGCTCTTTGGCCGGTCTAGGCAACGTTGGTTAATTTGCGGAATCTGAAATGCAGGCAATACCTAATAAATCCAAAATACTGCTTCTCTCATTCCTGCAGCAGCTCTTTACTGGAATGAGTACTGTAAAGTTTCTGGTAATTGTATTTGTTCTTTACAGTGTTATCCTCATACGTTTCCGGTAACTAAACAAAGTGAAACGTAAAGAGTTTTAAACGACTTGCCAAGGTCGCAGTGCCCATTTCTGGTCAAATTGCAATTGGAAGAAAGCGTTTGGTTATTCTTGCACATCTTAGAAGTTCACACAACATTCTTATGTGTCTGCCTCCTCTTACTGGCCTTACTGAGGCCTGGCACTGGTTCTCAATCATGTTCAGTGTCAAGGTGCTATTTGAGTACGTATAAGGGTCATTTAACTCATTCTGGTGTGCGCGTTTTGGGGAGAGATGTCCTAGAATACTTACTGGAGCTGTGATTTCTAATCTGAAACCTGGTGGGTTGAGGATCAGTAGGTGCTGGAAAGAAAGAATATTTTTAATTTTGTCAGGCATTCTGTTTAGAAATCTCCAGAAGAATATATGGATTGGTAATACAGATACAGATCATTCTAATCCACCTTACAAGCTCTTACTAATTTTAAAAGTATATTTTGATTATAAAATATGTGAATAACTAGTGATGGATTTATGGAAAACAACCTGAAAACTCATCTCCCATTCCTATTTATTTTTAGTGCTTTTCAAGAGAAGAAAGCAGCATAACCATGGTTGTCTTTAGGATGCAACCAGTTAGGCAAAACAAAACACAACAGAAACCGTCACATTTCATATTTTAGTTAATTTGAGGCTTTATGAAAAGTAAAGATTAAACTAGTGAAATGGTCAAACTTGCCAGTTTAGATTTTTTTTTTAAAGGAGCAAGGTCTTTGTTAAAGATATCTTATTGATTGGCCAGCCCATTTGGCTTACAGTAATTTAGGTAGAAAAATCCATGTGCAGATGCTTATTTCAGTAGATTACAAAGACTGCCTAGTTCGAATATTCATAGCATTAGTAGTTTGTAGTTTCAGTATATGTTTGTGATATAATTGGTTGTTTCTCAATATTGTTCTTTTTTAACCCTTTAGGAAAAGTTGGCAGCTAAGAAAAAACTTAAAAAAGAAAGAGAGGCACTTGGTGATAAGGTAAATCAAATTTTTAGCTGTTTGATTTCTGTCTAATATTAGGGAATCCTTACATTTATGTTGAATTACTTTCTTTTAAAATTTATTATTACGTATTTCAGATGTGTAAAGAAATACAAAAGTAATGTAATAAACGTCTTTGTATCATTTATCCAGCTTAAGAAATAATGCATTAGCAAAGAATGTTGGAAGCCCCTCCTTGTCTGGTTCATCGTAGTTGCTTTTCCCTCCAAAGATAACCACTCCTGAAATTTTTGAATATTTTTTTCATGTACTACTTTTACCTTTTCTGTGTATGTTTGTGTACCTATACAGTAACACAGAGGGGGTGTTTTGCACGTAACTTTGTGTTTGAGAGGTCAGCACCTCTGGCTGACTTTTGGAATTTGAAAGCTCCCCAGGTTAGGCCTGGAGCTGGGCTCCTGTGATGTGAAGCAAAGGCTCTTGGTCAGGCAAGGCTGGAAAAAGGCAAGACAGAGCCTCTTCTAGAGTAGGGTGATAAGGGTGTGTTAAGCATTAGAGCTGGACAGAGGATATGAACCTATTTTTGAAAAGTGAGAACAGGGAGTGGGAGGAGGGTGAGGATTATGGCAAAGAAAAGAGCAGAGAATGCATCAAGAAAGAATTTGGGGCCGGGCGCTGTGGCTCATGCCTGTAATCCCAGCACTTTGGGAGGCCAAGGCAGGTGGATCATGAGGTCAAGAGATTGAGACCATCCTGAGCAACATGGTGAAACCCCATCTCTACTAACAAATACAAAAATTAGCCGAGTATGGTGATGTGCACTTGAAGTCCCAGCTACTCAGGAGGCTGAGCTGGAAGAATCACTTGAACCGGGAGGCGGTGGTTGCAGTGAGCCAAGATTGCATCTCTGCACTGCACTCCAGCCTGGTGTCAGAGCAAGACTCAGTCTCAAAAAAAAAAAAAAAAAAAAAAAAAATTGAATTTGGCTATATTTGTGGTACTGATAAGAAGTGAAATCTTTCTATTGAAAAAAAATGTTTACTAAATACTCCTACATTATTGCATAGCTAAGTTATTTTTATTTTCAGTGTATTTATAGTTACTCCTAGTTTATGGATTATTTTTGCAAAATTTTGAAAACATACATGTTTCCCCCTCCCATTTAAGATACCAAGTAAGTTACCAAATAAGGGTGTTTGAGGAAAGAAAAAAATGTGAAGACTATACACACTAAACACAGTTGAATTCTTTGAATAGTATTAGGTTAAACCATATCAAATTGTCAATAGTAGACTGTTTTGATCTACAGTATCCTAGTATGTCAAGCAATGTTAGTCTCTTTTTAACTTTTTAGTAATCAGTCTATTACAGCAAATTAATGCTATGTTCACCATTTGAAAATACCACCATTCTTATTTTTTGAGATGAAAGATGACTTCTTAAAACTGCCTCCTTTAAAAAATACTTAAAATGTAATATTTGTTTCATAGAGTAATAAAATGCTAGTTTCAGTTTATATTTTCTTCATACCTCTGCTAGTGCACATATATTTTGAATTAGTTTTAGTGTACTCTTACAATTCTGTGTTCTACTTCTTAACAGTTCATTTACACTATTTCTTGGTCTGAGTATGCATGATTGCTGATCCTGACAGTTTTCCATAGTGTTGATGTAATTTAGTGTGTTTAGTCATTACCTTGTTTTGAACATTTGCCCTGTTTGCTGTTTATTTTCATTATGAATAGTGATACTACGTATTTCTTTGTATAAATTCTCCCCTATTTACATTCCTGAACATAAACACCCTGAAGTAGAATTACTAGGTCAATGGATAACAACTAGACTTCTGATAAATATTTCTGAGTAACT